TTTTTTCTGGATGCTCCCGAGATTATTCAGTCGCCCCAACACACCGTCACGTTCCGTTTGCTCTATAATGACGCATCACATTGGTTGCATTGGCAGTTGGCGACGGTTAACGCTAATGCATCCCGTCATTAACGGCGATAACAATCGGTCAATCATTAAAGAGTAATCAGGCAACACCGACTGAACTATTTGTTTTCCGGTGATCTCCAGGACCTCCTCACCAAACACCATGCGTAGACAACAATTATAACTAACTCAAAGGAACGACTAATTTCAGAAGTTCGTTTTGATAAAAAAAATTGTCAGGCAAAGAAAAGACAACAGAAAAAAATCGTTACATCAGCCAGTTCGATACAAACGTAGTATACTGTATGTAGCTGACTAGACTAATGCTTAGTCTCTGAATATATATAATTTTGATAGTAACAAACAAGCCAATTTAAATTGAAAAGGAGCCCCAGGGAGACCAGAGATTCAGAACCTGAGGAAATCTAGACTTGCTTTATTTAGGGCTTTAAGCACTGCAGAGAGAGCTTGGCAATAGGGAAAATGTGGTTCAGGGACTGTGAGACAGACTAGTAGCTGGCTATTGACCAGACAATTCTGATCCCAATATATATTGTCATGGACTCCAAGTCGAGGGTATCCTACTTTACCTGTGGCACCGAGTGCCACAAATGGTGAATGTTCTTGAACTCAGTCTCAAATACTGGCCAATGCGTGACTTTCCCAAAGGAAAGCTCTGAAATGACTATCTCCCATAACAGTGTCCATCTAGCCAAATATTCAGGTCACAAACTTAATGAATAAACGTGTTTCTTAATTTCCGTTTCTGAACATCTGTGTATCACGAAACAAGCGCAGGAAACAGCTTTTATAGTGGTGTCAAGAATGAACATTTTTTAAAATACCTTAAACTGATTGCCAAGTACAATACATAAAGTATAAAATATAGAGCCTTTTTGATTTATCATATTAGCATTTCTGAATATGTATATCACGAAACTGCAGGAACCATCTTTCATAGTGGTGCCAAGCATGAACATTGTTACAAGGCCTTGAGCTTATTGCCATCTACATTGCATGCAAAATAATGTTTAGAGCCTGTTAGTTTGGTTATTTTAGCTGCCGACATTTGCATTTGAACAGTCAAGCCCAAGGAAACAGAACACTGCATGTTTCTCTAGTAGTCTGTCTCACAGTCCCTGAACCACATTATTTTCCCTATTGCAAAGCCTTATCTGCTGTGCTTAAAACCCTAAATAAAGCAAGTCTAGATTTCCTCAGGTTCTGAATCTCTGGTCTCCCTGGGGCTCCTTTTCAATTTAAATTGGCTTGTTTGTTACTATCAAAATTATATATATTCAGAGACTAAGCGTTAGTCATGTTTCTCTAGATGATTCACATCGGATACGTAGAAGCTGAGGAGGCAGTTGAAAGTGTGGTCAAACTGCTGATTTAGTGAGTGGCTTGGGTTTAACGCCTCTCTGACCATTTTTCAGAATGTCAGCATAATGTGAGCGGGAAATCAGGGGATACCACTTTGGTAAAACCCACGAGCGGTGCTGAGATTCGAACCAACTATCACAGGTTCCTAGCGTGTACAAGGGACGTAACCCTGCGCAGCTATCCAGATGCTATAGACAACTTGACCATCTGTTGTCATGCGTAACTATCGGGATGAAACCGTTAACAAATCAAGTTTTTATGTCATTAAATAAAACGAAATCTTGGAATGAGATATTTGATTAGTAAGATTACTATCAATATGCTGATGACAATAAGAGCACGGTGCGTATTATAAACCTGTTTTTAATGGACGGAGAATTCGTTTTGCTCAAGCCATCATTGTGCACCAACTTGGAATCTCATATCTATAGAATGGCGACGCATTGTGCTATCGTGTGAGTTGTCTCCCTTGGACCATCCCCACATCACAAAACCTCAGTGTCGCCCGTCACACCCGCCTCCCGACACGACAGGCAGCTGCAACGTATTAAGCTCATAATCCTCCACGGTAAACCACAACTATTTCCTGTTGGATATATATATATCAGCTGCCAAATACAGACTTGACAGTGATGCGGTAGATATGGCGCTTTAATCACCTCTGATTTAAGGCTATAACGACAGGCTCATTATATAGTCATATTGCGGTTAAGATATGTCAATACTTAAACCACCTGTACCGTCGTCCTAACCACAGCACTGTCAAAAAAGGGAATATCTGTTACACATGGTTTACCGCAAATACGTCCTGGCTCATCCATGCATCACTGCGTTAGACGTGTTAATAACCTTATAAGGCAGCGACGGTGGTTCGGTTAATCTGCTCCGAATATTTATTTCATGTATCCTCTAGAGAAAGGTTCCGAAAATACGAACGCAATTTAATAAATGAAAAGGTTTTAATGTGTTTTAAAATATGAAAGGTCAAATGTAACGATTCAAAAGGGTGTAAAAATAGAAAATAACACTAAATGGTATGTTATTTGACATCAACATATTTTACAGAAAATTGTTCTAAAATTATAATCATAAAATATAACGAAAAGGATTAGGTGAGTGAGTTTTCTTTTTACACCGCACTCAGCAATATTCCAGCTGTATTGTTTCGGTCTGTACATAATCGGGTCTGGACCAGACAATCAAGTGATCAACAGCATGAGCATCGATCTAAACAACTGGGAACCGATGACATGTGTTAATGAAGTCAGCGAGCCTGACCACCCGACCCCGTTAGTCGCCTCTTACGACAAGCATAGGTTACTGAAGATCAATTTTAACCCAGATCTTCACGGGTTAATGAAAAGGAGCACAGAAACTTCCTTTTGACCTGCATGGGCAGTATAGGGTATATTTGTTTTAGGGTCTGTGTGAGTGAGTGAGTTTAGTTTTACGCCGCTTTTAGCAATATTCCAGCAATATCACCGCGGGGGACACCAGAAATGGGCTTCACACATTGTACCCAAGTAGGGAATCGAACTCGGGTGTTCGGCGTGAAGAGCGAACGCTTTAACCACTAGGCTACCGGCCCATGAATTATAGGGGTTTAACTCTCAGTGTTTCTAGACACACGGACTCCAAGGAAGTGGATGCATCTCTGTAATTTGTATGCTTCATCTATTCGTGTAAATAATTAAGTAGACTATCTAGAGGGAGTGTATAAGTATGTGACGCCACGTTGCATACGTTTTAAGACATGGTTAACGGGGGGGGGGAGAGAAGAGGCCCTCCTGGGAATCCAACCAGGACTGTCGACCATCTTCACGGCAGTGTTAGGCTGTTGCACCTGTAAAAGGCTCAGGTCGTACATCCTTAAATATGCGTCACTTGGATATCCATCCTACCTTCTCGCCAAAACGGTAAAATCCGATACCATGTGCTCGCTGCCTCTGCGAGGGTAACCTTTCACTTTAGTCATTACTCAGTAAAGTTCCAGCTATATGATATCGTTCTGTAAATAATCAGGACCATACAAACCAGTGATCAACAGCATGAGCATCGATCTACGCAATTGGTATACGATGACATGTGTCAACTAAGTCAACGAGCCCGACCGCCCGATTCCGCTAGTCGCCTCTTACCACAAAACATGGGTTACTAAAGACCTATTCTATACCGGATCTTCACCCGATTCCGCTAAAAGCATCTTGCCACAAAGCATGGATAACTGAAGACCAGTTCTAACCCGGATCTTCACCCGATTCCGCTAGTCGCCTCTTGCCACAAAGCATGGATGCTGAAGACCAATTCTAACCCCGATCTTCACATTTTTAAACATGTTCAGACAAAGTACCTAAAATGATACATTTCCGCACAAAAGATGTTATTCTTATTAGAAAAAAACAGCTGCCCTAATCACACAACATGCAGGTTTGCATATCGAAACCCCAGCTTCGGTTCGTTTGTACAGAGACCGGTATATGGTCTCTGGTTTGTACGCTGTGACGTGGTACTGGAGCGACGTGCGTCATTTTCCTTTGTTTACAGTTAAGTGAAGAGTCATCGCTTCTTGGTCGTGTCATAATCCTGTGAGCATGGCCGCGAATCCCAGAGTCGGCGTGACTAAGATAATTTATCAAGGACGTTTTCGTCCTCATGGGTTCCACCGAAGTAGTTAACGCATTAGAGCTATATTACTTGAGGCTGTCTTACCATATGAAGTTGGGCATTAAATCACGATGGGCACCTTGTAGACGTTGTACGGTATCTTACAACAGACATTCTTTCTCGATTCTGCTCCAGTGCCTTGATCCGATTTCATCCGGGTAACTTCCTTACTATTAAAATCAATTTTTCCTTGTCAGTGTGTAACCAAATGTTAAACACTGCAACATCCACTCACAACTTCGATTATCTCGGAAGTACAAATGGTGATGTGTTTGTCGTAATAATCCGATTTATACCGAATGCAGCGTGGACGGTCCGCGGTAGCCATTCCACTCATTTTGACAGCAAATATCCTGGTAGCTCTTACCGTAGTTAACATTGTAAAGGACGTATCCTTATGAAAATGATAGTTAAAGTTCGTAAGCTGTTGCTCGTAGACTTCTCCGTAATATTTCAGGTAATAATTATCCCATGAGAAAATGTTGGCAAAGTGGCTTTTATCTAAGAAGCGATAAATATTACAGGTAAAATATGATAGATTAATGACTGATGTATGGAGGGTACCTGTCCGGGCGGTTATGGCCCGAGGAAGCGAAATCTGGACCAAACCTCCTCAATTTAGGCGTCGCTTTCGCGGAAACGGTTAAGCTACAGTGAACTCTGAATTTAGCGTTCCCGGGACTCTCAATACACAAGAAAAACAAAGAAATGTCAGTCGTCCGTCTGATACCGTAGTCTTGGTAGAAATTTAATAAATAAATCAAAGACTGTTCACCGATAAGTCACATTGATGGATCATGTGGAGGTGGATTACTGAAGGTTGATCAGGTCAGTGAGGTGGTCAGTGTAGTCCAGGACACCGATGATGTTGTTGACGAGGTCGTCCTTCAGTGACTGCAGGCGGGTGTCAATATGCCTGTACTTTCTCTCCCTGGGTGGGGCTGTCCAGTCTGCTCCGATCCGTTGGATGGCGACTTGGACTGTTCTCGCTGAAACAGTTTGACGACCTCAAAAACGTTCGGATGGCTCTTCCTCACAAGCTTGTTTATCTTGTGGTTCCATCCCTCGACGTCGTTGTTGGTTTGATGTCCTGGATTGCCGAAGAGGTTCCAAACTTCTGGTCCAAACTGGCGACCTTCCACCCACGTTGTGGTAACGTAGTCCATGAACGCTCGGACTTTGGCACCTGCAGGACTCTCAGCGATGACATCAAGCCAGACGTCGTCGACCTTGTCCATGGGACCCAGAGGCAAGGCTTCAGCTCTCCTCACTGGTCGCCTCACCTCATCGTCATCCTTGTAGAATGTAGCAAGACCTTCCTTCTGCACACAGCGCCAAATACACTTCATCCTCGAAGTAGGGTGTTCGGAGATGCACCTCGCAAGCATTGTGGGATGTAAGTTCAAAGTCCAACTGGTATGTCGTTGGATCGAGGATGCCTCATCTCCGTTGATGGTTGGAGTCGGCGTTGTCGCCGTCTTTGCACGGTGGGTTAGCGTGGACTTGTTAATTGTTTGATCTTTGTTAGACATGTAAAGGACCTCGACGTATTCATTTATTGTAATTTTATAAAAAAATAACTCAGTTAGGCCTCAACTCAGCTTACTCAGGTAAAAAGAAACTTCATCGCAGTTCAGTGAGTGAGTTTAGTTTTACGTCGCATTCAGCAATATTCAAGGTCTGTAAATAATCGAGTCTGGACCAAACAATCTAGTGATCAACAGCATGAGCATCGATCTGCACAATTGGGAACCGATGACATGTGTCCACGATGTCAGCGAGCCTGACCACCCGATCCCGTTAGTCGCCTCTTACGAGAAGCATGGGTTACTGAAGACCAATTCTAACCCGGATCCTCACGGGTTCCTCGCAGCTAAGAGGCTCAGAGATCGAGTATTGGGGTCGCTAATCTGAAGTACGGTAATCCGATGTTTTCATAGCAATTCGCTTGCGCGGCACTTTCTAGCACAACTTTGGTTTTCGCTTTACCGGGAATAGGGAATATTGAAATTTCGCTTTCCCGGGACGACACCGTCCGGGCAGGCGAAACTAAAACGGCCTTAAGAGTTCTGACATTTGAGGTGCCAACATCCTTAGTTCATATGCGTGAGTGAGTGAGTGAATATGTTTTTTCGCCTTTTTTAGCAATATTCCACCACGGCAGTCAATACTTGTGATTGACATCATGAGCATCGATCTCCAAAAATGGGATACGATCTCATCAGCCAAGGCATACAGCTTGACCATCCTATCCCTTTGGTAGTCTTTTACAACAATCATCGCCTGCTTACCCGTGAAGGTCCGGGTTAGAATTGATCTTCAGTAACCCATGCTTGTCGTAAGAGGCGACTAACGGAATCGGGTGGTCAGGCTCGCTGACTTGGTTGACACGTCACCGTATCCCAATTGCGCAGATCGATGCTCATGCTGTTGATCACTAGATTGTCTTGCCCAGACTCGATTATTTACAGACCGCCGCCATATAGCTGGAATAATGCTGAGTGCGGCGTAAAACTCAACTCACTCACTCACTCATAGGCTGCTGAAGAACATTTCTAATCATGCCATGTACATGTGTTAAAACCCCGGTGGTCCAAATCTGAGGGCGCCAACATCAGCTTCTTGTGCATCCGGCATACCCTTCATTTGTCTTGGCGTCAAGTTCCACAACTCTTGCGTCATATCCGTGTGCACAGCTGGTACAAGTAAATTACACTTGAAGTTTCACAGAGAATACTTGAGCATGTGTACTCATAAGCTAAGGGTTAAATATTTTACTGAGTTTCACTCGATGCAAAGAAAAAGAAGATAAAAATATACTAACAAAAGCGAAATTTCAGCCTAGAGATATTGGCATCCAACATTTCATGGCATCCAGCGTACTGCAATACGGCATCCAAGACGGTGGGGTAGCCTAGTGGTTAAAGCGTTCGCTCGTCACGCCGAAGGCCCCGGGTTCGATTCCCCACATGGGTACAATGTGTGAAGCCCATTTCTGGAGCCCCCCGTCGTGATATTGCTTGAATATTGCTAAAACCTGACCACTCATTACGATTGATCGTGTGTCGTCACAGATTGTATTCTTTTCGTGCTTATTTACTGAAAGGTCCAATATAACATATGCGTTTAAGATTGATCGGTTTCCTAAAGTTTGGAGTACGAATACAAATGTGAGCCACCATGTCAGGTAAGTGGAAATGTTTCTGTCAGTTTTCAAGGATCGAAACTGCGTTTTGTATTGCTCCATGCAAATAGATTTGACTTGGCTCCTGTCTACATCGAACAGCTAAAGTCGATACGCCCACCAAAGAGTGAAATCAGTCTCATAAGCAACTCAATACAATCATGAGAAGTACGAAATCGAGAAATATACATCGCACAGGTCACTGCCCCTGGTATCCAACAGTGAAGCATATTAACCATATTAATCACCGTCGTCGTTGTCGTCGTCAACATCATCGTCATCATCATCATCATCAGTGGTCGTGCTATGATGTTGATTATTTACAGACCGCCGCCATATAGCTGGAATATTGCTCAGTGCGGCGTAAATCTAAACTCACTCACTCATTCACTGAGTTACCGTATCTCGACTGTTTCCTCAAACGAACCCCGATATCATTCCAACTGGGCCTATGGAGGCGTGTAATTCATAGGGGAGATAACTACATTAAAGCTGAAGGGGCACACCACTAAACCGCTCGCGCATACTTGTGGTTGCAGGTGTTTTGGGGAGATCTATTGTGCGGAGCTACCAAGCCGGATAAATACCTTGCCATAACAAATCTTCGTAAATTCAAACATGCTTTATCTCCGCCCCGACAGCGAGAGGTTAAGTAGAAAGGTTAGATGTTGATGTAGGATAGGGTTGATGCGTCTCCTTAAGGGATGCACGATGGATTGTGATAGCCAGTGCTCCTTGAAGTGGTGTGGAGGATCTCTGTACATGTCGGTGAAAGAGTTATGGTCCGGCTGTTATGGTCTTGTGATGTTTAACCTTCTCATTCTTTTTATTCTTCTGGTACTTTCTTTCATTCTTTTCATCCTTCATTCCTTCATCTAGCGCATTTATCTACCCACTGTTTGACACCCGTGAACATCCGGGTTAGAATTGATCTTCAGCAACCCATGCTTGTCGTAAGAGGCGACTAACGGAATCAGGTGGTCAGGCTCGCTGACTTAGTTGACAAATGTCATCGGTTCCCAATTGCGCAGATTGATGCTCATGCTGTTGATCGTTGGATTGTCTGGTCCAGACTCGATTATTTACAGACCGCTACCATATAGCTTGAATATTGCTGAGTGCGGCGTAAAACTCAACTCACTCACTAACTAACTCACTCACTCCCAGTGTTTGACTTATACTGTCGCTTTACCCATTCACTCATGCATATTTACGTTGACACTCACTCACTTATGGGAAGATTTACTCACTCACTCACTCACCCACCCAGCCTATACCAACTCAGTCACTCACTCACTCACTCACGCGCCTACTCACGCACAAACTCACTCATGGCGTCCAGCTGTGCCAACTCAAAATTATTTTGTTTAGTCTTGTTTTGTTTTTAAATCAAAATATACAAAGGTTACTCTCCGAGATTGCGTAACTTTTGATCCTCGGTATCAAATTATTCTCATGCACTTCATGAACTGGGCGGTAGATTGGACGACTCCTTCATTTCACCATGGTAATTTAGAGTGTGATCCCGGATTTTCATGGCGGCGATCGTTCAGATATCAGCTGAATCTCTCACAATAAAGTGTGGTAGGGTCGCCAAGCGGTTAAAGTGTACGCTCGTCACGCCGAAGACCAGGGTTCGATTCCCAACACAACATGTCAAACACATTTCTGGTGTCCTCCGCAGTAGTATTACTTGAATAGGGCCAAAAGCGTCATAGACCACACTCACTCACTCACTCACTCACAATCACGTCATATGGATGTTAAGCAGATCGTACACACCTTTTCAATCTGCTGGACCGGTGGGCTGTTTGGCGGCTATGTTGTGTTAGTTTTCAATTCAAATACGATGTGTTCATAAACAGCGAAGTTCAAATAATTAATTCTAATGCTCTAATGCACCTAATGCTCAATTGCAATAACGCACGCACGTAAGCAAGCAAGCACGCACGCGCACACATATACCTTTTTATAAAAATAAAACGTTATCAACATTGTAACTGCGAAATGTTTTCGGGATTTACGGTTTCACTCTCTTTCTACTCGTACTGTAACCGATAAGAGACAGATGTGACGGGATATTATGACAGTGGACGACGTCATATGCTTCATGAATATTTGACGTTCTCGAAGCAAAACCATTCATCTTTTATTTCAATCGTATAACTGGCCAGATGAATGGATAGGTACTGTTTAGACTTTTAGACCATATGTAATATATTATTGATGCATACTCTCATCAGAAACGACGGGTTTTGTTTTTCAAATTAGCAAGGAATTATGTTATCTGTAGTGCATGGGGTGTCTTCCCAAAAGTTACACGTCCCAAAAGTTGGACGCGTTAACGTTAAAACAACAAAGGTTATGGTTGGTTGCACTGAGGTTCACTACACTGTTACCTTCGTTAATTAATGGACTAGTCCAAATGTACTAATCCAAACACAAAGAGAAGAGATTATGGATAATGACAATGACTTTATTTGACATAAAACAAAATAAGTTAATTCAACAAGATAATATAAATGACCAATGGCTGACTTTGTAATGACTTTATTTGTCATAAAAACAAGATGAGTTAATTTAACAAGATAATTCAAACGGTTAATCAAATCATTCAAGAATTAAGATTTTACATTTTGGAATATGATTTAACATTGTTTGGGTTTTGATGGTGGTTTGTTTTACAGACGTAGAGGAGGTCCAAAATGAAATGTCGTCTGCCAATTTACCTCTTGAAATTTTGGGATTTGTTTTTTCTGGAAAGATGTCGTTTATCATAAAGTTGAGTAGAGTTGGGGACAGTATACTTACCTGGGGCGTTCCATTTTCTAAGGGTTAAGGGTCCGAAATGGTGTTGTGGGACTTGATAGTTATTTGTCTGTTATTTACTAGAGAGTGAATCAAATTTAGAATTCTACCGTGTATGGCATTTTTCTGGAGCTTTGGGATGCTCTTTATATTGTTTATGTTGGAAAAACAATGTTAGGAAGGGAGTAACTCCATTAGATTAATGAAAACTCAAAAACATAAAAAATCTATAATCCTGTTTTGATCAAAGTGTATATCGTAAAAACAAGCATGCAGAATCTATAATCCTGTTTTGATCAAAGTGAACATCGTAAAAACAGCCATGCAAAATCTATAATCTTGCTTTGATCTATGTGA